ACCATTTTTAGTATTAGTAATCATATTGATAACGATAACGATAGTAAATTATTATCGAATAGAGTAAATATAGTTTAAAAGAAATAAAAAGGATTGTAAATTTTAGTTCTCTTTTTCTCAAAATAAAATACAAAATTAGCATATTTTTCACTATAGTATACACCATGATCGAAGGTGTTGTGAATAAATTGAAAGTACTGTTGGTATTAAGATAGAAAATATCGAAGCAAGATACTTATCTAAAGTTACGTTTTATCTGTATTGTATGAATACTGGTAATAAAAATTTTTTTTTAATTAGCTAAATAAGTTTATTTTCTAAATTTAAATAAAAAGACAAGTGCAACTAAACTAAACCATATATAGATTCATATGTTATCAGGTTTTTTTCATATTAAATATTAATATCTCTTGAAAACTGCAGAGAAATGAACAACAATAAAGGGAAGAAACAGTCTTATATAGAAACATATATTACAGACGATGATGATTCATCTAGTTCTTGTGACTCTTCTGACAGTGTATCTGAATTAGATAAAGACAGTACTGCATTTAATGTGTGTGAAGATATTAATGGCTATGATAGTGATGAGAGTCCAAAAATAATAAATAATTCATCAAATCGTGATGTTATTAGTATTTATCAATTTTTGAGTTATTTTATTATAATAACTTCATTTGATTTATTTATTATTATGTTTTTATAGCGATAGAGAAGTCATCAGTGCAGAATGCTTTGATAAACTTTTTTGGTATGCTGGGATTATTACTCGGGCAGACAAAAGATTATAAGAAAAATAATATGAATTTGGAAAGTGGAATTGCTGAAATAACACCCAAATACATTCCAGTAAATAAAAAACATAAATCAGCTTTTCGAGTATAAGTATTATATAATTTTTGTTACTACTTTAATATTATAAGTGCTATATTACTAAGTATTTTTTATAAGGCTCTTGTTTATGAAACTGTTGAATGTCTCATTGAAGTAGAAGATGTAGAATTTATTGTCAATCCAGATGTTGAGTGGCAAAAGCAATATAATCATATAAAAAGAACATAGGTACCAAAAATTTCAGATGCTATTATTGATCGATTTCCACATATAAGTAAAGATATACTAGATGTTCTTTAAAGCCATAGAAAATATAAAGTTGGGTACAAAAAAATAAAGGATGATTCAGAAGCTGATAAGTATAATAAACACCGAGTAAATAGAAATACAAGATATGCTAGTGTATGTATCAATAATTTTTTTATAAGCTATATAATAATTTTTACTAATTTTATTTTATTAATTTTTCAGAAATTTGCCAATCGTTAAAAAGCAGCTAACTATCTCATTTCTGCTTTTGACCCTGCTATTGAAAACTTCGACCCAGATGATATTGATTTCCTTATGAGTAATAAGGATATTCATTCAGGTGATAAAAGCTGTACTGATATTGAAGCAGATGAACGTTGGGAA